TTGTTAATAACTCATCAAATAATGCATCTGCATTAGACAAATCAAAAGAATATTGTCTATGTAATATAGCCACATTCTTTTTGGCTGGTTGTGTTGCTGGCATACTTATAGGTTGGTCTGTCTTTCTTAATGTCTCACAAACCACAGGTTTTTTACCTATTACTTGGGCAACATCTATGTCAATTTCCATGTCAAATTCGACTTCTTGATAATAAGTGCCCAATGAGGCTACATTTCTATGTTGTTCTTCTCTGAGAATGGCCTCATAACTAGTTGCTCTTGAAGACAACTCAAATAAATCCCTAAACATCATGCCTTCAAATTTTTTCCTAAGCTCAAAATGTAAACCATTTTGGGCTAATCTTATTACTTCTATTTCAGGCACGTATACATGACAGCGGTTTTTTGCTTTTTTAAACATGTCGATGTACTATTCTGAACTTTCTCCTTGTCTTTGTTTAAATTTTGGCAAATCCATCATTGTCACTTTAGGTTCAGTTCTAAAGAACTGAGCATGAAACTGATTTTCCATGTCTTGCCAAGTGTGAACAGAGTTCTCTGGCAAGTTAATAAACCAAGTAAATGCTACTTTCAACAAAGAATGAGGAAAGAGCTTTAACTTTAAATTATCATCATAACCAGGTTCTCCACACTGGAGTATGAATCTGCCCACATGTTCTATGGTTGATTGTCTTTCCTCTCCTGTGAACAAAGTAAACTCAGGAATTCTGTAATTCCTTGGCATGGGAATTATTTCCATCCATAGAGGGTAAGGACTCCTAAACATTGGTCTATCTGGCCTTCTCAAGCCTGGACCATACATTTCCTATATGATGTTCATTATTTGTTGTCTATTGATTTGAGATTCTAAATATTGTTGTTGCTACCCTCCTCCTTCAACCTCTGGTTGGAAGTAAGGATTAGGAGGACCAGGCCCTCTAGGCCTTAGATGCATCATGTAGGGTTCAAAATATGGTTGAGGCATGGTAAAATCCCTTGCATCTTGAGGCCTTACTTGATTAAATGGAATATTTCTCTGTTCTGCCATAGCCTGATAACCAGGCCCTTTAAATGCAAAATTATCATACATTTGTGGCCTTAGTTGCCCCCCAGGCCTCATTCCCATATTAGTTACATTGTAATTAAATACTGGGTCTGTATGATATGTGGGTTGTTCCCTCTCAAACATTGGATTTATGTTTATTCCCTTCTCATATCTCTCTTAGAGTATGGGAGGTCTATAAAATGATAGAGGTTCACTTACTGTTTTATACTGTTGAGGGGTCATTTGGGACTTAGGTTGTGCTTTTTTCCCTTGTGCTTCCTCCCCAATCTTTCTTGATTGACTGGGCTTGATGTTGGCTTTCTCAAACAAAGCCATTAAGTCATCAATCATCACTTGGTATTCTCATTTGATGATATGGAACCAATTGCTTGCTGGGTATGCAGCAAAAGAGCCCTCCTTGGGTCAACTGGTGGACAACTGGATTGGCCAATGCTAGCCACATTTTGGCCAATTCTAGCCACATTTTGGCCATTTCCTTGGCCTATTTCTTGCCTAGCCACTGAATGGCCATCAGTTAAGTTGTCTTGTACTCCTTCAATTTCACTGTCCAACTCTTCTTCACCTTCGATCCTTTTCTCAGGATCTTCAATTACTTCTTGTTGTTTCTTCCTAGCCATTACTTCAAATTAGACAGGTCCCACTGGGCGTGCCAAAATATGTTAGCAAAAAATCGGGTCTGGGTCAAATCGACAAGGGTGATTCGACAGAGAAGCCAAACTTTTACAAACAACAACAAATCAAACAATTGTGGTCTGAACGTTTTATGCCTTGACAGATTCAAGAACTTCTTTGAAGGTTATAATGCGAAGAAACAAGAAGGAATAAACTGAAAATCAATTGTTGAACAAACAAACTTGGAATTTAATTAGTAAAATTAAACTCCCAGTTCAATCTACATGACAATCGACAGAGAATTCTTAGTTACAGAAACTGAACTACAGATAGACTACTCCTAAGTAAGAACTAACCAAGTTAAGTTACTCCTAATGCTATAAGAATTGTAAATTTGTTTGAAGGTCCCTCTAACTTCGAATTTCTAGCTTTTATATTGATGGTCTTCAAACTCCACTGCTGCTCTGCTACCACGTGTCTCATCATATAGCCAACTACCTCCACTTCAATGCCCATGATCTCTACAACTACTAGTAACTGCTTCTCTATTGCAGCTTTTCTCCTCCTAGGAAACATGACACGTATCCTATATGCCTTGCATGCTAACTTTATGGCTTAACACCTGGGCCATGTTTGGCCACATTCCACTTCATTACTTGATGAATCGATAGGAAAACTACAACTGCCACACCTGTCTTTTTGGCTACTTCCTTTATGCCACTTGCTCTGTATTCTAGGCTTCATATTCACTCGCTTTTCACTTGTAAACTTGTGGAAACTCGTGGTCTTTAAACTTAGCACCCACTGGACCAATTCTCTACATTTGTTACATACAATCGATAGAGAATATACAATTTTAGTGTCAACAATAATGATTAATAAAAGAATACAAATATGATGTTTTAAAAGTATTGTATAATTTTACGTAGTCTTGCAAATTTATGTAACCTCTCAATTTAACTTTCATTCATCAATACAGCCCGCCGTTCGGCCCACAGCCCGCCGTTCTTCCATATAAAAATAACAATTACCCTTTAAATATAAAAATTAGATTTATTTTTTAAATTTAATAATACAAAATCAATTAAAATATATAAGATAATTCTCTTATCTTTTTTTAACCATCAACTAATCCTATCATTTAAATATCATTAAATTTAAAAAAATAGATATATAATTTGAATAATGTTATATGTATTAATTAATGTATTAATTAGTGTACCAATTAATGATGTGACATAATTTAAGAAATTTTTAAAATTTGTAATGTGATTAATGAGTGAGATCAATAATAATGTCATAACTAATATTTTTTTTTAGGTACAATAGAAAATACAAACAAACTAGGACCTCTCCCTAGAGAGGCCGATCATATCAGCAACAAGATAACATTGAATTTCCTGTGGTGGATCATTAACCACCAAGATATCTTCAGGTTACTCTGCTCCAAATTTGGCCACCGCATCTGCACACAAGTTCCCCTCTTTATAGATGTGGTGGATGGTGCATTCACATCCTCTGAAAATTATTTTTGCATCCTCCAACAGTCCCTTAAAACGGAATTTATCATCTATGGCATCCTCCATCAACTGCATAACTTGTTTAGCATCAGTCTCAATGATCACCTCGTGCATACCCTTCTGGAGCATCACGGTCAATCCTTTGTAGAAGAGCCCACAGTTCTGCCTCCAAGCTTGTTCCACTGTCCAGCCTTCCATAGTAGCCACACACCCAAGCACCGCGTTCATCTCTAAAAACTCCCCCAAAACCGCCTCCACCTCCCAGCTTCCTACTGCCATCAACATTTAGTTTTATTTTACCTGCATGAGGTAACATCCACTGTATCAATCTAAAAGCAGGCCTGGGATTAATAAGGGACAAATTGAAAGCCAAATCAATATCTCTTGAGTAGTCAAGAATGAATTTAACACTATCCATGCCATTACACAACTTTTTTTCAAAAACAAAAACATTTTTATTTTTTCAAAATTTCCATAAAGTGATAATGAAGACAAAAGACCGAGTAGCTTGCTCATTAAAAGGCTTTTTATTCTTGGAATTAGACAAAAGCCAATCCTTCCAAGATAAGCTAAACATGTTTCTGCACCAGGTTCGGCCACATAGGGCCAGCCATATCAGCAACAAGATAACATTGAATTTCCTGTGGTGGATCATTAACCACCAAGATATCTTCAGGTTACTCCGCTCCAAATTTGGCCAACGCATCTGCACACAAGTTTCCCTCTTTATAGATGTGGTGGATGGTGCATTCACATCCTCTGAAAATTATTTTTGCATCCTCCAACAGTCCCTTAAAACGGAATTTATCATCTATGGCATCCTCCATTAGCTGCACAACTTGTTTAGCATCAGTCTCAATGATCACCTCGTGCATACCCTTCTGGAGCATCACGGTCAATCCTTTGTAGAGAGCCCACAGTTCCGCCTCCAAGCTTGTTCCACTGTCCAGCCTTCCATAGTAGCCACACACCCAAGCACCGCGTTCATCTCTGAAAACTCCGCCAAAACCTCCTCCACCTCCCAGCTTCCTACTGCCATCAACATTTAGTTTTATTTTACCTACATGAGGTAACATCCACTGTATCAATCTAAAAGCAGGCCTGGGATTAATAAGGGACAAATTGAAAGCCAAATCAATATCTCTTGAGTAGTCAAGAATGAATTTAACACTATCCATGCCATTACACAACTTTTTTTCAAAAACAAAAACATTTTTATTTTTTCAAAATTTCCATAAAGTGATAATGAAGACAAAAGACCAAGTAGCCTGCTCATTAAAAGGCTTTTTATTCTTGGAATTAGACAAAAGCCAATCCTTCCAAGATAAGCTAAACATGTTTCTGCACCAGGTTCGGCCACATAAGGCCAGCCACACTTCTTTGGCTTTGAATCAATGTATGAATAGGTGATCCCTGTCTTCCACCCCACAGTAGCTAGGGCATGTATGGGCAGATGTTAAGCCCCTCCTCAATCTCATAAGGTTAGTTAGCAGCTTTCCATGAAAAAGAAGCCACATAAAACCTCTAAGTTTTTGAGGTAGCCTTACTTTCCAAATCGAACTTCAGTTATCTACACAACTATGATGGCCCGTGACAACATCATAGGCAGAGACAATAGACAAACCTCCACACAAGATGCTATTAATATTAATATACTAATTAATATATTAATTGATACATGTAACAATATCTATATAATTTTTAATAAAAATTGATAAATCCCAATCTGTCCACCAAACGAAACACACCTGTGGCGTCACCACGCGGGGACCACCAAAATAACTTGTTGTCACCAACTAATCACTCGCTCATTTGCCTCTCTCTCTCTCTCTCTCTCTCTCTCTCTCTGCAAATTCCAAATGATAGCCGTTGAGTTTCCGTTTTTTCCATTCCATTTCCAAAACGTCTCAATCATTCTTCTTGGTCTCTTCAAACTCGTAACAAGTCTCCGTTGACCGCCAATCTCTCTCTCTCTCTCTCACGCTCTCTCGGTCTTGACGTCTTCTTCTCCCTACATCCCAATGCTCATCATGTCTTCTAAATCTACTCGCACCGTTGGATCAATCACACCATGAGCGACTCTCAAAGCCCCTCCTCCTACTCCTCCAACTCCGGTTCCCCCTCCGCCCCCCAACAGGTAGGTTTTTCAAACTGAAATTTCATGTCTCAATCACTAAATTTCATGTTTCAATCACACTTCTAACAACTATATTTCATGTTTAAATCACTGTATGTATATCACTTTCTCTATCCAATTTCATGTTTTAATCATTCTATATAGACTATTTATTGATGTATTCATGTAAAATTTCAATCACCGCCGTCTTCAATTCGACTCATCATTAAACAAGTAAAGGCTCAAAATGTCATGAAAAAGAAAAATACTATATATGCCCATAACTTAAAATCATAATAAATAACTTTAATTTTCTGAGTGATAACAAATATATATATATATATATATTATAACTAAGGGTAAATTACAAATACACCCCTAAGATTTGTTTAAAATATAAATTGCTCCATGTGGTTTGAAAAATTACAAATATCTCCCTGTCATAATTTTTTATTTAACAGAATTAATTGAAAAAGTAAATTTTCTAACTATTCAGCTATACAATAATAAAATTATCTGAATTATTAATTGAAATAAAATTTTAACACTATTAAAAACTGTTAATTAACTTGATGATTTATTAATAAAATGACATATTTGTTATGAAATTAGAAATCTTAAAGGCATAATGTAATTTCTAAAATCATAGGGGTTAATTTGTAATTTAAGTAAATCTCAATGGGTGTGTTTGTAATTTATCCTATAACTAAACAAAACATAAGACATAACTAAAGAACTCATGAATTGTAAAATAATGTCGTAACTAAATAAGAAAATTATTCATAACTAAAGAAGAATATAGCATAACTACGGGTGCATATAGTACACCTTTTTAAATTGGTGTATATTAGAATTTCCCTTACTAACAATTTACAATAGTTACATGATTCAATATTTTTAAAAGAAATCGATATGTATCAATATGTATATTTTTCGTTATATATATATGGCCGATTCTGACTTTCTGTAGCCTATGGCGAGTTTAAAAAATGGGGCCCTTATATATATGTTAAAATTTACCATCACCTACCACACACTTACCATCACCTACCACACACTCACCTACTACACTCACCTACTCCTCACCTACCACCACCTACTCCACTACACCTACATCTATATAAGGAACCATTTGTAATAGACAGAAATAACAATATTCATCAATCAATAATACATATATTTCTACAATATATATATATATATTTTTTAAAAATTCTTTTCTTTTCTTGTACAGACATATTAAGTGATAAATCTAATTTGAAAAAATATTGTATTAGTCAATAATTTAATTATAATTTATTTTTCACAATAATTATAACATTTTATTTTCTGAGCAATTTTATATGATTTTCTTAATTGACATAATCATTGTTGTTGAGATAGACATAAATCATAATTATTGAAATAAGATTTGGATATTTTCGATGGGTAACGTAACGTAATAATTTATTCAACTTTTTTATGAAGTAACTGATTGAATATAAAATTTGATCAATTTCAATTTTAAAAAAACTTAAGAGGGAATTGTAACTAGTATAATCAACAATATTCTATAAACAATCTATACATTTAACAAATAATCATCCATTACTATTACATAATTCACCATTTCAATTATGTTTTTTCTTTTAAAAAAAAAACATTGAAACTTCACTTTTAAACTGCTAATACAATAATTTAATGTTTGGTTCATTAAAATGAAATGGAATAGAATAGTCATTCTTTAACCTCTCTATAAAATGATTATTCTCTCACAATGATGATGTAAATGATGATTTTATTTGTAATTTTTTTTTTTATCATTTTTTCAGTGAACCAAATATGAAATTGAATATTATGAAGGAATGATTGTTTCATCCCAATTCATTTCAATAAACCAAACCTAACATGAGAATTAAATCATTTGGAGGCCCGAGGCGGCCAACTTGTATATATATACACAATATATATGTAATTTACAATACTTTATACATAATAAGATTCATATGATAATATTTAAATTTTGGGTAAATTACACTAAGCTCTCCTGAGGTGTGGAGACAATATAGAAAACACCACAACTTTAGCATAATTACACCACTTCTCTTTTAGTAAGATTAAAGATATCACAATTAATGCAAACAAAGAGATAAATAAAGTAAAATACACATTTCAGTGTAAAAGAGATGACAACATCATTTTCATCCGTATCACTAACAAAATTATTATGAAAATGGGCCTAAGTGTTATTTAAGAGAATTTAATGTAATTATGTCAAATTTATGGGGCTTACTATATTTTTTTCAAGCCTCAAGCGAGGTAAGTGTAAGTTATCCTTAAATTTTTTTAGCATTTAGGGAAAAAAAAATAACTGTACTTATTTCTAATAAAGTAATATTGTTAGAAATTTCATTAATGTATTATAAATAAACTACAGGTTTAGGGTAGCCATTTGGAATATAGGAACCTTAACTGGTAAGACGATGAATTGGTAGATATTATGATTAGGAGGAGAGTTAGTATACCTTGCGTATAAAAAACTAAGTAGACGGGTGAGAAAGGTAGGGAAATTGAGGATACCAGTTTTAAACTATATTATAGTGGTACGAACAGGCGCAGTAATGGGGTAAGAATCATAATTGCCAAGGGTCTGGTGGAAAATGTAGTGGCGGTCATTAGGAAAGAGGATAGGATTATGTTAGTTAAACTAGTTATGGGAGAGAATATAGTGAACGTTATTAGTGGATACGCCCCTCAAGTAGGATTAGATGATCAGACTAAGAGGGATTTTTGGGAGCAAATGGATGAGATCTTACAGGAGATGCTCGTAGGGGAGAACCTAGTTATAGGTGGAGATTTTAATGGCCATGTAGGCATAGATAAACTAGGCTATGAAAGGGTGCATGGTGGATACTGTTTTGGTGACAGAAATGAGACTGGAGAAAGTATCTTAAATTTTGAGTTAGCTTCTGACCTAGTAATGGCCAATACTATATATCAAAAAAGGGAGGAGCATTTGATAACTTTTAAGAGTGATTCAGTTAATAGCCAAATAGATTACTTCTTAGTGAGAAAAGTGGACCGCCTAAAATGCAAGGATTGTAAGGTGATTCCTGGAGAGAGCCTGACCTCTCAACATAGGATTTTGGTACTAGATTTATGTTTTAGAGGGCAATACCAAGTTAGGAATGATGGTGGGCGTCGTAGGACGAGATGGTGGGACCTGAAAGGGGATAAACTAGAAATATTTAAGAATAGAATGGATAAGGAAGGTACTTGGGACTTGCAAGATGATGCTAACACTATGTGGAACTCGATGGCCAATTGTATGAGGAGAATCTCAAGGGAAGTGCTTGGAGAGTTGAAAGGAACGGGAGGACCCAGCGCTAGGGAAACTTGGTGGTGGAGGGAAGAGGTTCAAGCGGTAGTTAAGGCAAAGAAAGAGTGCTTTAAAAAGTGACAAAATGATAGAACTGAGGAAAATCTTAAGAGCTATAGATTGGCTAATAAGGAGGTCAAAAAAGTAGTGAGAGAGGCTAAGTTAAAAGTTTATGATGACCTATACACTAGACTAGATAGTAAAGAAGGAGAGAAGAGCGTATACAAACTTGCTAAGATTTAAGGCAAAGAAAGAGTGCTTTAAAAAGTGACAAAATAATAGAACTGAGGAAAACCTTAAGAGCTATAGATTGGCTAATAAGGAGGTCAAAAAAGTAGTGAGAGAGGCTAAGTTGAAAGCTTATGATGACCTATACACTAAACTAGATAGTAAAGAAGGAGAGAAAAGAGTATACAAACTTGCTAAGATACGGGAGAGGAAAATAAGAGATTTTAATCAAGTGCATCAAGAGTGAAGATTCTAAGGTATTGGTGAAGGATGAAGAGATTAAGGAAAGATGGAAGAACTATTTTGAGAAACTATTAAATGAGGAACATGGAGGTACGGCAATAGGAGAAGAAATGGCTAGTAATACGATAAACCAAGACTATAGATTTTATCGCAGGATTAGGAATTTTGAAGTGAAGATTGCACTTAAGAAGATGAAATCAAATAAGGCTTTAGGACCCGATGATATCCCTATTGAAGCTTGGAAGTGCTTGGGTAAAAAGGGGGTTGCTTGGTTGACTAGGTTGTTTAGCAAAATTTTGTTGACTAGGAACATGTCAGATGAGTGGAGGAAAAGTATTTTAGTGCCAATATATAAGAATAAAGGAGATGTCCAGAATTGCAACAACTATAGAGGAATCAAGCTAATGTGCAATATAATGAAAGTGTGGGAGAGGGTGATGGAACGCCGATTGCGAGATATAACAGAGGTGTCAAAGAATCAATTTGGGTTTATGCCCGGCAGGTCAACAATGCAAGTGATTTATCTTTTGAGGAGAGTAATAGAAAAGTATAGAGAAAAGAAAAAAGACATTCAGGTGGTGTTTATCGACCTTGAGAAAGCATATGATAGACTGTCCCGAGATATAATATGGTGGGTGTTAGAGAAGAAAGGGGTGACAAAAGGTTACATTGATATGATTAGGGACATGTATGAAGGGGTGGTGACCACTATTAGATCGCCTACTGGAGAAACAAATGAATTTCCTATCACTATTGGGTTACACCAAGGATCTACCTTAAGCCCTTACCTTTTTGCTTTAGTTTTTATGGATGAGTTGAAGAGAAATATTCAAGATGACGTGCCATGGTGTATGCTTTTTACAGACAATATTGTGCTAGTGGATGAGACTAGAGAAGGAGTTAATACAAAATTAGAGATTTGGAGAAAAGCTCTTGAATTTAAAGGTGTCCAGATAAGCAGAAATAAGACAGCGTACATGGAGTGTAAATTTAATAACAGTAACAATGAAAGCAGAGGAGAAGTGAAGATTAAGAACCAAAAATTGCCTAAGAGTGAACATTTTCGTTATTTAGGATCGATTATCACAACAGCGGAGGAGATTGATGCGGATGTGGCCCATAGGATTAAGGCGGGATGGTGTAAGTGGAGAAGTGCGTCTGGGGCACTGTGCGATAAACGAATACCTACTAGACTAAAAAGTAAGTTCTATAGAATGGCTATTAGACCAGCGATGTTGTATGGGACGGAGTGTTAGGCAACCAATAAACAACATGTAGATAAGATGAGTGTGGCTGCGATGAGGATGGTAAGGTGGATGTGTGGCAAGACTAGACAAGACAGAATTAGGAATAGGTGTATTCGGGAATGGGTAGGAGTAGCACCGATAGAAGATAAGTTAAGAGAGAATCGATTGAGATGGTTTGGTCACATTCAACGGAGACCAACAGAGGCAGTAGTGAAGAGATGCGATACTGTAACGGTAGAGGGGAGTGTTAGGGGACGGGGTAGGTCTAGGTTAACGTTGGCTAACGTTGTAAATAGAGATATGGATCTACTTAATTTGGCTAACGAAATGGCCTTTGATAGGGCCGCGTGGAGAAGAAGGATTCATGTAGTTGACCCCATTTGATGGGACTTAAGGCTTGGTTTGGTTTGGTTTGGTTATTATAAATAAAGTAATTTTTTAGGTGAGAATGATACTGTTTCTTTTGTTTTCTTTACTTTTTAGACAAATATCTACTTGTTTAGTATTTACCATCTTGTATGGTTGATTTATGCCTTTTTACACACCGATTAAAGTTTAAAGTTTCCTATTATGGACAAACTCTTTGAGAACTAAAAAGTTAAATTAAATAGTAAAACCTAAAATGGTGAATTAAGATATTATTTTATACATATTTTAACTCCCCTCTGCATTTTATATGCATTAGTATTAATGATTATATATTTTATATGCATTTTGTCTTTTAAGCAATCTTACTTTTGCAATTTTAAGAATTGTTCATTGTTTAGTGTATTGTTTAGTTTTTTGTTTGTTCAAGATATTTGTGTTTTTCTATAGCTATATATATTTATTTTTCTACCTATTTTTAAAGATGTTAAAAAAAATTTACGATACACGATATGGTACGATACAATAAGCAATTCAAAAAAATAGAAAAAACAATACACGATTCGTGTCTTGATTTGACAACTATGTTGTTAATTGTTCTGACTTATTTTGGTTGCTTTATGTTTTGGATTCTAGAATGTTGGGCAGAGTTGTAGAAGTGCTAGTGGTGGTGTTGATTCATTGTCTCCGGGACTGGCTCTGGAGGGTTCGCGCCATTGGCGGGATATTTTTTGGTTATGTTTATTTATTTTGCATATGATTGGGATAGGTTTTATTCTTAGTTTCTTTGGACTTACTTGGTTTAGGAGGAAGGATATGCTTTACATAGGGACGGAGGATTACTGGCCATTATATGCCGTTGCTGGCGGAATTGGGACTGTTCTTGGGTGGATTTGGCTGTTATTGCTTGGTTCACGTGCAAATCAAATGATGAAATTTGCGGTTCACATTTTGACTACTTATCTTGCTGTGATTAGTGTCTTGTGTTTTTGGGGTGATCAGTTCTTCTGCGGTGTTGCATTTGCTATTGGGGCTGCATTTCAGTTCTTGTATGTCATATCAGTTATAGACAGGTAAAAGAGTTTGCGATTTTACATGCTTATTCTTGTGGTTATATTTTTGAACTTTTTGGCATGGTTAAAGAGTGATTATCTCATGTGACATTGTCATCAATCATCGACCAATTCATTTGAAATATATGGACCAAATTATGATTTTACAGGGTTTTCATCAATAAAACAATGACTTCTGAATATCACAAGATGGTATCTCAGTAGATCTAGATGTTGGTGGTAGAAAATTTTAGTCTTGCAGGCACTAACAATTCAAAGGGCCCTAATTGTTTTGGTTCACTTGCTCCTGTTAATGATGAAGTGGTTATGACCAATGCAAATGAAATGTTTAATTTGAACATGTAGATGCTATTATAGAGATTTACTAAGAAATGTTTATGTTAGTATAACTGATAATTTTAAATTCTTGTCTTAGACATCATGGTCTTTATTTGTTCAAGATTCCTAGCTTTGTTTCTACTTGCAATGTGTCAAAAGTTAGGCAAAGTCACATTTTAAATCTGTTATTTTTACTTAAAGATTGTTGTGGAATTTGGTTTTAAAACTCGCAAATGATTAGACTTTTAAAGTGGAGAAACTTACCCAAATTAGTAGCGACATTAAAGCATCTTGTCCAACCACAAGCATATTTCAAGTAGTGAATTGAAACATTCAGTTCTTTTTGTCAGTTTTGTTTTAAATTAAATATGATTTTTGTCAAAATTTTATGTAGTGAATTAAAAATTGAGTTCTTTTTATTGGTTATGTTTTAAATTAAATTTCTTCAAAATATTTTAATATTACTGAGTTACCTAAGAATCATTTATTTACTTAGTAAAATAATTGAATAATTCAACTCAGACACATAACCAAAGTTTTTATGCATGCTGCTGTGTATCTTGATTTTCAACAGATACTTGAAATGAAAACATGCAATGTGCAATGTGTAGTCTAATAGCATTATGACAGTTTTGTTTGATTAATCAAACCAGGGGTTGCTGCCTTGTAAATTTTTTTGCTATTGATTGTGGAATCTAGTTTCTAGTTACCAAGAAACTCGCTTTGAGAAGGGAAACTCATTTTCTTGTGAGCTCATTTCGGGAATGGAGATGGAAACTCTTATGAAATTTTAAGAAAAACTTCTGGATAACATTTCTGGGAAGTTTTAGAAACTCTTGCTTAATTTTAAGAAATGTATCAGAAATTTGAAAAATGTTATGAAAACTCCAAAAAAACGCTTCTCATAGTTTCTACCACTTTTTCATGTTTCAAATCTTATTTTTCAACCGTCATATCTAACTGTTCTAATTAGTTTCTATAGATATTGTGTAGCATTAGTATTTTAGTTGATCATGATTTTTTTTTAATATTATATATTTCTAGTTTTAAAATTCTTAAATATCCTATTCAATCTTGCGTAGTGTTTACACCTATGCAAAATATTTTTGGATCATGTTTCTGTGTACTGTTTTGTTTCTCACTTCTGTTTCTCATATTGACAATTATGTAGCTGTAAAACTGTAACACCATTGTTATTGTTTTTTTACTGTAACACCATTGTTATTTTTTTTTTTTTTTTTTTTTTGTGAAGAGTCGAGGGTGATGTGTGGTTTGGGATGTTTCCTCAGCCCTTTGGTGGGATTTCGTTATGATCGAGAGTTTGAGGTGATGTTGGAGACTTCTGAGGCCTTCTAAGGGTGGTGTTCCTATGGGAGAAGAGGAGGAGAGGATTCGATGGACTTCCTCCAAATCTGGTGGGTTTGAGGTCAAATCGTATTTTATGAAATTACTTCCTTTGTTAAGTGATTTTTCTCCTCCTTGGAAATACATTTGGAAGTCTAAAGGCTCATCAAAGTGTCATTTTCTTGTGTGGGTGGTAGTTCAGTGGAAGACACTTATCAATTATCATTGATATTTTGGTAAAATGGATAAAAGTCCTTCCATTGGTGTTGCATGTGCAAGAAATGGGGGAGTTGGTGGATTAAATATTCATTCATTGCAGGATTGAGAAAAGATGTAGAACACTTACTAGGCACCTAAATCAGTAATTGGGTTATTTCTTGGTTGGACTGTTTGTAAGATGCATAATAAGAGGAAGGTTTGGGCGACAAACACCTTTATGTTTGATGAGGTTTTGTGGGGAAAAAAAAAAGAATCACTGATCTTTTAATGGTATTGCGTCTTTAATGCATTGAGTAAATTTTAGTTCATTGTATAGCTTGGTCAGGGATAAGATTAGCTCTTGTTTAGATTTTGTAGACAGCCATGGGGTCTTGAACTGATGTATAGGTTTTCTTTTGTTTTCTTTTTGTGTGATGTTCCTTTTAGCTGACTCATTCATAATGAAAACTGGAAAATGCATTCATTGCTCCTTTGCTTTATTTGAGTTAATTTGTTAATTTATTCTTTATTCTTTGTTTAGTTGTCTTTTCTGACTGTTGTAAAGGCTCTTAGAGTTTACGGACTTAGACTCGGGCAAAGTAGGTGACAGTTAAAATTATGTTACTCTAATAGATTGTTAATGGTAAAGTGGTATCTTTTGATATTACTAGTCAGGAAATATGGATTAGACTCAGGAAAAGTAGACGGAGATTACTTAGTTGCATGAAGCGGGAGCGGGGGCGGGAGCGGGGGAACGTGGTCACTTAAAGGAGTCGTAGATTAGGAGCACTTATGTATTATTTTTATTAATTATATTTTATATTATAATAAATAAGGAATAATAAATTATGTTAAAAAAAATAATAAATAAAAATTAGATGCTTTATTTTATAAATTTTTTAAGTTTTTTTTTTATTATATATGATTTAAATAGATTTCTTTTAAACAATTAGGTGATTTATTTTATTTATTATATGTTAAAAAGGTAAGAAATAATAAATAATAAATTTCGTTAAAAAAATAAAAAAGAAATAATAAATAAAAATTATTTTATATATGATAAAATAAATAATTTTTTATTTTAGACATAAAAATTATATTGTTTATGATAAATATTATAATTTATAAATTATATTATATAAAACAGTCAAATATGAAAAGGGAGAGAGAGAGAGAGAACATAATAGATCGAGAGAGAGAGAGAAGCGAGAGAAGCAACCAGAGACGAAGAAGAGAAGCAAACAGAGACGAAGAGGAGATCGAGAGTGATAGAAGAGAGAGAGACGAAGACCTAGGGCTTCGAAGAGAGGGACGAAGACTAGGGCTTCGAAGGGGAAGTCAAACAGCGAGAGATCGAAGTCGTCGAACAAAGGATCGAAGCCAACAACTAGGTTCTCTCCTTGCCCTCTCAAGAGTGCTTCCTTCTCGCATCAGATTCGCGTTTCCCTCTCCTCAGATTCGCGATTCTGCTGCGATTCTTCCTCAGAAGCGCAGAATCGTGCTTCTTCCTCAAAGTCGTCACCATCTGAGATGATTCCTGCTACTAAGGGAGATTAAAATTTTGTTACTCACATCATGTGATAGATTGTTAATGCTAACATGGTGTCTTTTGATTTAGTAATCGGAACATAAGGATTTGTTTTGTACCAAGAGTTTCCTTCAGAATTATTCATTTTCCTAACTAGAAGACCATGAAATTTGTAAAACCTATTACTTGTTCAAAGTTTCTGTTTTTGGACACAGAAAACACATTTTAGTGCTCTTGAAAATGGCTGATATTATGAGAAACACTCAGCAAACCGTGTCATTTGATTGACTTTTATTTTCTATGATCCGTGCCTAACATGTTCTTTCAGTACATTTCTTCTACCTTGGAATCAGAAAATGGTTTGTCAGATGCAATATTGAAGCCCTCAAATCTCATATTCAACTTGTATTTCACAAATTACAAGTAGTTGGTGCTTTAGCCTTGAAGCTACTGTGAGAATATTATGTTACTTATGGAAATATTAGATTGATTGTGTAGATTGATTGTATTTCCTTATTAGTCGATCGATTGATTGGTTCTCGTTGGAATCAGGCTCATCTAGCATTGGAATCATTGTACCTCAGCCTTTGGTTGGTCCATCTAATTCGCACATCTGGGTCGCACCTCTTCATCACATGTGTGACTCGCGTGAGTGACCTATTTGGTTTGAACCTCTTCATCACTCCTCTAACTCGCATGGGTGACCCATCGCGATTAACTCTGCTTCTCTCTGGTCCTCTGTGTTTGGAACTTATGGTTCTCTGGAAGCTCTATTATCTGATTGTTTCGTCTCTCTCGTTCGATCCATCTGACTATTTCATCTAGATCGACTAGGTTGAGAGACCGAAGATTTATTCGCAATGCTTCTCTGTAACGATTTCGCTCTCTCCGTGGTTCTCTTATTTCGTGGGTCTCGATATCTCTCTCTCTCTGAGGTTGGGTCTCGACTTCTCTGGTATTTGACCCATTTGATATTAGTTTACCGATATAATACTTTTAGATCCAAAACTCTTCTGGTTATTACGCTGTAGTTTTGGATTTAGGGTTTATTACACTTGAACCCTTTAATTTTTTGGTTATTATGTTGTCTCTGGCATCTGATGAGGTGCCTTCTGCCATCAGAGGGGTCATTGGAAGTATCACTGTCCCAAGAAGGAATGTCTGCCTGCCTCGTTTTTTCAGCAGTCTCAGAACCAATTCTGGGCTTCTTCCACTGCTTGTATTGCATCTGCTCTGACTCCGGATCCTAACCTGGCTTCCTTGAGCGCTCAAATCAGTCAGCTTCTGTATATGTTACCTCAGCATATACTATCTACCTCCCAACCATCCCCTCTGCCTCCATTGTCTCTTCTCTTCATTCAGGTTTGCTTGGGTCTTCTTCAGGTATTTCTTCGTCTGTCTGGATTTTTGACTCTGATGCCTCTCATCATGTGACTCCCTATCTCTTCTTACTTCAAAATTGTACTCCTCCCTTTGCTATTACTGTCAATGCTGCTAATGGGTTTGGTATATCTGTTGTGTCTGTTGGGTCTGTCGGGTCTGTCCTACCGTCTGCTATGTCTACTGTCTCTATTCCATCTGTCCTTTATGTTTCTCAGTTATCTGTTAGTTT